CCATGCTCTACCAACTGAGCTACACGGGGGGCCCATTGGCGAGCGCAAAAGACATCCCATGTAGCGGTGATGCTCCTCTTCAAAACAGCTTTCGAAAGGTGTTGCATTACTTTAGGACTGCATTAAGAATGTTGTACAACGACAAGTTTCTCTCCCTGTGTCACTCGCCATCTGAACGCGACAAGCTGACCAACTGAATGAGGTCAACTACTCTACTATGGGTGTTGTCTGATTTTGCTGTTGATTACTCGTGTTGTTGTTGGCTGATGAAAATTAAAAATGTGGAAAACAATTTTTCATTAGACAATTTAAAAATGTGCATGACTCAAGGTACCATCTGGCTCTCATTTGGATCATAGGTGCTGGGTCTCGAGCCCGGCGTGACAAACTGAACAACTGTGTGTGTGAGTTGACCTCAGCACGGTTCACAAAGGGAGATAACTATACACTGGTTAGAGATACAGTGCATTTGGAAAGTATTCAGACCACTTGACTTTTTCCACATTTTGTCACGTTACAGCCTTATTCTAAAATGGATGAAATAACACATTTTCCTCATCAATCTACACACAATACCCAATAATGGCAAAGCTAACACAGGTTTTTAGAAATTTTAGCAAATTTATTAAAAACAAAAAACAGAAATACCTTATTTACACAAGTATTCAGACCATTTGCTATAAGACTCGAATTTGAGCTCAGGTGCGTCCTGTTTCCATTGATTATCCTTCAGATGTTTTTACAACTTGATTGGAGACCACCTGTGGTAAATTCAATTGATTGGACATGATTTGGAAAGAAATACACCGGTCTATTTAAGGTCCCACAGTTGACAATACATGTCAGAGCAAAAACCAAGCCATGAGGTCGAAGGAATTGTCCGTAGAGCTCCGAGGCAGGATTGTGTCGAGGCACAGATCTGGGGAAGGGTACCAAAACATTTCCGCAGCATTTGTAGGTCCCCAAGAACCCGATGGTCACTCTGATAGAGCTCCAGAGTTCCTCTGTGGAGATGGGAGAACCTTCCAGAAGGACAACCATCTCTGCAGCACTCCACCAGTCAGGCCTTTATGGTAGAGTTGCCAGACAGAAGCCACTCCTCAGTAAAAGGCACATGAAAGCCTGCTTGGAGTTTGCCAAAGGGCACCTAAAGACTCTCAGACCATGAGAAACAAGATTCTCTGGTCTGATGAAACCAAGATTGAACTCTTTGGCCTGAATGCCAAGCGTCACTTCTGGAGGAAACCTGGCACCATCCCTATGGTGAAGCATGGTGGTGGCAGCATCATGCTGTGGGGATGTTTTTCAGCGGCAGGGACTGGGAGACTAGTCAGGATCGAGGGAAAGATGAACAGAGCAAAGTACAGAGAGATCCTTGATGAAAACCTGCTCCAGAGCGCTCAGGACCTCAGAATGGGGCGAAGGTTCACCTTCCAACAGGACATCGACCCTAAGCACACAGCCAAGACAACACAGGAGTGGCTTCAGGACAAGTCTCTGAATGTCCTTGATTGCCCCAGCCAGAGCCCAGACTTGAACCCGATCTAACATCTCTGGAGAGACCTGAAAATAGCTGTGCAGCGACGCTCCCCATCTAACCTGACAGAGCTTGAGAGGATCTGCAGAGAAGAATGGGAGAAACTCCCCAAATACAGGTGTGCCAAGCTTGTAGCGTCATACCCAAGAAGACTTGAGGCTGTAATCGCTGCCAAAGGTGCTTCAACAAAGTACTGTGTAAAGGTTCTGAATACTTATGTAAATGTTATATTTCAGTTTTTTTTGTACTACATTTGTAAACATTTCTATAAACCTGTTTTTGCTTTGTCATTATGGGGTATTGTGTGTAGATTGATGAGGGAGAAAAACAATTTAAACAATTTTAGAATAAGGCTGTAACGTAACAAAATGTGGAAAAAGTCAAGGGGTCTGAATACTTTCCAAATGCACTGTATACTCTGGTGAGAGCAGAGAGGCACTTGGGCCTGAGGTGAAAACACACACACAGACACTATACACCCATAACCCGAAAGCAGAGCAGAAACTGGATGAAGCATAGAAAAAATAACTGTCAGAAGGATGACAGTCAGGCATCAGAGCGACAGTCAGGCATCAGAGCGACAGTCAGGCATCAGAGCGACAGTCAGGCATCAGAGCGACAGTCAGGCATCAGTGCGACAGTCAGGCATCAGAGCGACAGTCAGGCATCAGAGCGACAGTCAGGCATCAGAGCGACAGTCAGGCATCAGAGCGACAGTCAGGCATCAGAGCGACAGTCAGGCATCAGAGCGACAGTCAGGCATCAGAGCGACAGTCAGGCATCAGAGCGACAGTCAGGCATCAGCGCGACAGTCAGGCATCAGCGCGACAGTCAGGCATCAGAGCGACAGTCAGGCATCAGAGCGAGTGACGGAAGAAAAATAAATCTGTTTTGAAATGTTCTAAAGGCCAATAACCTGCAGAACACCTGAGAACCTGACTGATAGAAACATCAACAACACACCAGGTAAGTTTATATATATATATATTTTAATATTTAAACCCACTAAAAAGTTGTAAATAAACTTTTGAATGAAAGGCACAGTAGAATCAGACTTGCTGATTTAACACTCAAATGAAACATTACAAAAGCGGACAGTTATTTATGCACATACAAATCCCTCCTCCAACAACTGAATGGACCAATCAGAATCCTCCAGGCCAGGGGAAACAGGACACATTCCTGATAACAACAAAAACAAGGGTGTGCATCCCAAATGGTACCCTATTCCCTATATAGTGCACTACCTTCTGGTCTAAAGTAGTGCACTATATAGGGAATAGGGTGCCATAGGGCTCTGGTCTAAAGTAGTGCACTATATAGGGAATAGGGTGCCATTTCAGACGGGTGCAAGGAGATTCTAAACCGTAACTATAATAATCCAATCTATTATTTGGCCAAACTAGTCAGACAGGGGTCATTAAACTGCCCCTGGACCTGTGGAAGGACAACAAGCACTCTGGATCCGCTTTGCTAGCTTCGCTTTCCCATAGCATTTTCTGGAGATTAGAAATACAGCCCATTTAAAGCTTGATGGCTCAAAGTGATGCTGTGTGGTGAGGAGACAACGTTTAATATCGAACACAAACTCAAGAGATGTGAAATTACAACATGTGAGAAGTTAAATCTGGGCTGTTGAGGAAGTACATAACACACAGAACAGTTACGTTCAAACAGTCAGACAGTGGAACTGCAGGAGAGATTGGAGGACCCCTTAGAAAACTAAACACTAAGCCATGAATCAATTACAGCCAATTAGAGACTCTGTAGGTACTGCAATCCACTGCAATGGAAATCTGACATTTACACTTTGGTCCGATTCTCCCAAATCACTTCCTGTCCTTGTTCTTTTACCCACTCACCACCACCCATCTGAAAGAACCTGATAGGTGAAAGAAATATGATGTTCATCTACCCAGTTCTTTAACCTCATCCTATCTATTGTGCACCGACAGTGATCGTGACTGATAGTGAAGGAAAGAACACAAGGAGAGGAGTCTATTTGGAAGTGTTGGGACACAGTCTGTTGAATACTTTGAAAACGCTTCCTTCCTTCCTTCCTTCCTTCCTTCCTTCCTTCCTTCCTTCCTTCCTTCCTTCCTTCCTTCCTTCCTTCCAGTAATCACTGATTCCACTAAATGTCTTTCACCTCAACTGATGTCAGATCAGAGCTTACACCAAGGAAGGAATTAAGGATCTATTTCATTTTTAACTACTCAAACAGAGCCCCCTATTTCAGCTTGGCTAACCCTAACCCTGGGCTTAGTTCTATTTCAGCTTGGCTAACCCTAACCCTGGGCTTAGTTCTATTTCAGCTTGGTTAACCCTGACCCTGGGCTTAGTTCTATTTCAGCTTGGCTAACCCTGACCCTGTGCTTAGTTCTATTTCAGCTTGGCTAACCCTAACCCTGGGCTTAGTTCTATTTCAGCTTGGCTAACCTTGACCCTGTTTCGAGATACACGCAGAGGGAGAGAGGATCCTTTGGGCAGTCCTACAGGGTCAGAACAGCATTGCTTCATGGTACGGGGGGGGGGGGGGGGGGGGGGTTAGTTCAGTGTTCCATATAGCCTCTTTGGTATATTCACAATATCATCTAATATATAACCTGTTCCTTTTATATTCCTATGTACCTCCCTCTCTCCCTCTCTATAGAAAAACCTTGATTGCCTGACTCCAGGGGAACTGGAAATCGAGTGATTGATTAGAGTAGCAGGAAGTAAGACTTTCACAGCCACCAAGGATTTGTATTTTTCACCTCCCTCTCTTTGCCTGCTGTGCCCAGGTCTCTGCAGCTGCCTGACTGTAGGTGGATCAGTGGGAGAGCTGTGCTAGCTACCTTCCCCTCAGCCCAAACCAGCCTTCTGACACACAGCAGAAATTTAAACACGCTCCTGTTCTGAGATTCATTCAACCCCAAACCATAAGCACAATAGATCATGTCAGAAAAAAAAAACACATTGTTAAGATTCAAATGTTAGCAAACACAAGAGTCCTGATGGAGAGACGTCACGTAGTCAGACAACCACAGGTTACGTTAGAGTAGCCATGGAGCCCCGGTCTTCCCTCAGCCTTCCCCCAGGATAGCAGCCCTGCTCTGGGGGGAGAGGGGTCCGTTGATCCCCCTTCTCCTGGTCCTTCAGCTCCAAGCACCTCATTCTCACCAGCTACCAAACAAAGTCAGAAGTCAATAACATAAACCCAGCAGCGAAGGACTTTCTAGTTCCCTTTTAAACATCTCCTCTATGAGGCTTTTGCAGGTTGGTTTCCACCAGGAAAGGAGAGGACCAATCACTACTGCTGCTGCTGCTGCGTGACCAGTGAGGAGGAGATCTCCTGCACTTGAAGTGAGACGAGGAGGGTCAAGGTTCAAGTTCCTGGGGTCAAGGTCGGGGGTCAAACCCAAGCCCAACCCTGACCAGCCACGCTGAGCTGCAGGCTACTGCTAACCGCCGGCTCCGTTCATTACCTCGCCGTGGCGGAGGAGGAGGAAACTAGCTGGGTGAGGTAGTCCCTCAGCTCCTTGGCGGCTGTGAAGCGTCCGTAGCGTTTTTTGGGGTTGGTGCACTCGTCCAACAGCGCTTCCAGCTGGCCGTCTTTGGCTATGTGGGCGGGGGGGTCGTGGAGCAGGCCGCCGGTGGTCCCTCGCCACGTGGCGTAGCGCGACAGCAGGTTCTGACACACGGCGTAGTAGTTGTGGTCCACGGTGACACGGTTACACAGAGACTCCTTGGAGAAGGACAGGCAGGCCTCTTTGTCACAGTCCTCGAAGCGACTCTCGTACCACACGTCATAGTTCTCTGGTTTATCTGGAGAGAGACAGAGACAGAGACAGAGACAGAGAGACAGAGACAGAGACAGAGACAGAGAGAGAGAGAGAGAGAGAGAGAGAGAGAGAGAGAGAGAGAGAGAGAGAGAGAGAGAGAGAGAGAAGATGGAGAGAGAGAGAGACAGAGAGAGAGAGAGAGAGAGAGGAGAGAGAGAGAGAGACAGAGAGTGGGGGAGAGAGGACAGAGAGAGGTTAGACAGATACACTACTACTACTACTGAGAGATACGACTAGGAATACTGTGAGAGGGAATAGCCATGGTTAGAGTGAGTCCGTTACATTTCAGCAGCAGTAAATGCATAATTAATATACCTATCATTGTTGTGGGCTATTAAAAATTTTCCAAAAAGCTGAACTGGAATTGATCCAGACTGAACTGGGATGGGAACTGATTATGTTTCACGATAACAATTCAGAACCCTTCATTAGCCTACGACGTGAATGGACCGTCCACGGCAGCTTCCAGCGAGGTGTTTTAAAATGGCTGCCAGGCCGTCTATTTTTAAATACGTTTTCAATTGTCACGTGTAGGAGGAAAATCAAAAAAGGAACACCTTACACAGTGCTTCATTGGTAAATTGGGAGGTCGGAAACTAAAAGTGAGCCGAGAGACGGGTGACCTGGGGGGCTGTGAGGTACCCGAGAGCATAACAAATATATAATTGCAGTTGCATACTGCAGTAGAGGCACTTGCAGATGTTACACATATGGGTATTTTATTTTATTTTTAAGCCTAGGGTCCGGTTTGCCTTTTCTAAACGCATTTCATCATTTTAGATGACTGGAGACTTTAGCAAAATCTTTTTAAATACCTCACAAGTGATCAAAATGACGGGCTACTTTGACACGGACAAACTGAGAATCTGATATCAATAGAAACCACCTAGTATTGAATCCATCAATAGCCGAGGCCTTGGTGTGCGGAGGAGACAAATATTGTACAATATGAGGAGGAAATTAGTCCTAAAAAACCTTTCCAGTTCACTGACTCACCCAATAATGCGCAGCTCACTCACCGACGACGGCCGATGCGCTTTTGCCAAAAGCCTTTCTCTCTCTCTCTCTCTCTCTCTCTCTCTCGTTTTTAAACAATGCTGTTCGCTCAATAGGCCAAATGGATTCTCTTTTCAGCAGAATCCATTTGCTTTCCAACCTGTGTTTTCCCCACGATTGTATTTGAAATATTTTGCGAAAGGCCTGTTTTGTCGGCATGCCGTTCACTGACAGATTTGCCGCGCTTACCCGACTGCAGGCCTGTGATTGGGCTACAAACAATCAACAGCTAGGCTATTTATTTTAAATAAGCGATTGATCCTCTGCGGCTAAATTATAGCCCTACTCATGGTGTAGTATTTTGATTTATTTAATTTCTTTCTGAACAGACAGATGTAATTCTATAAATTCTGGCAAAGTTATTTCAGTTTATCAGGGGTGCTGCGGAACCTCCAGCACCGTTCCCACGGCGATGATTCTATAAGGAAATAAATGATGAAGTGCAACGCTGGAGAGATGAGAGCTGCAGGCTCACGTCTATCAGAGCAGAGAGCTGGAGAGAGAGATCATAGAAAGGTCTGATACAGGCTTCTCACCACAGCAATGGACACGCGTTGGACTACGCAGGATACGATGTTAAACCACAAACCCAAGCTGGCCCAAAACAAATCAATTCTTAGAATATCAGGCACGTTTTCAAAAAATTTTTTTTGAGGGCAGGAGAATTACAGAGGAGCCAACTTGAATTTGTTTTTACATTGCAAACAGTGACAATTATTTTTCATGCCAGGAGATGTACCGGCAAATGGGTTCCCGAAACTAAACAGTCCAAAACTGAGAGGTGCCGGATCCTGTTCTGGCAGGATCCGGCTCAAATTAAGCACTGACCTTACATGACCAGGGCCTCAAGGAGATTACTGCAAGAGTCTGTGTCATCGGAGGCAATTATAGAAATGTTTTTGGGATACATACAACCAATCAAAAAACTAATTTAACATTTAATCTGGCAGAAAATAGACAAACAAATGTGTTTTATTGAACCAATCAATTTGGACCTGTTCCTTTCTCCTTCATGAGGGAGAAAGCAGATCAATAGTTAGAGAGGAGGATGATCCCTGAGGATTCTAACATAATCAGAGTATCAGCGGTTCTAATGCAGTGGTCCTCCGGCCCTGTCAGAAATGACTCAATCATCCTACTACTGCTGCTAAAACACAACACACTGCTGCCCCGTCAGCCCACTAGGGTCCCTCACAGCCCCCCCTGCTGCCCCGTCAGCCCACTAGGGTCCCTCACAGCCCCCCCTGCTGCCCCGTCAGCCCACTAGGGTCCCTCAACTCCACATCCCCCACCCCCTGCTGCCCCGTCAGCCCACTAGGGTCCCTCACAGCCCCCCCTGCTGCCCGTCAGCCCACTAGGGTCCCTCACAGCCCCCCTGCTGCCCCCGTCAGCCCACTAGGGTCCCTCACAGCCCCCCCTGCTGCCCCGTCAGCCCACTAGAGTCCCTCACAGCCCCCCCCTGCTGCCCCGTCAGCCCACTAGGGTCCCTCACAGCCCCCCCTGCTGCCCCGTCAGCCCACTAGGGTCCCTCACAGCCCCCCCTGCTGCCCCGTCAGCCCACTAGGGTCCCGATAATAAGCTACCGAGCTCTGTTGACGGAGCGGCGCAGGTTTCTCGTAACAACTTTAGAGGATTTTACATTTTGTGGTCGTAGTCTTCAAAGTTGTTTCCGTGGGTCACAAAAAACCTAAATGATCATGACCCGAACTGAATTAAATGTAAAAGGCTTTGAAAAATGTATATGAAAAGCGCATACTAATATATGAAGAAAATGTAATGTTTGAAATCGATATCCATCCTACCTCGAGACTGTTTTATGTCCTGCGGATTTGAGAAGAAAGATGAGGAGTTTAACGGGAAAGTGTGAGTGGCAGGTAGCAGTAGCCCTAATTCTGGCCCAGAAACCAGACTAGCCGGTGCGATGCAATTTTACAGACTTTTTTCCTCTGGCCTCCATTTATTTAGTCACCCTAATTATGGATCATCCTACAAGAGTAAAAACTCCATTAACTTTTTTAACAGATTATGAGACATGAGGTTTTACCTTTTGAACGGATATTATACAGACATGAGGTTTTACCTTTTGAACGGATATTATGAGACATGAGGTTTTACCTTTTTTAACAGATTATGAGACATGATGTTTGGTCCAACGGTGTTCTTAGAGGATTATCTATATAATTAACATAGCCATTGGTCAAAATATGCATTTTTTGATTGGACACCCTGCACAGTGGTGGCGTGGGACCAGTACCCGACAGACAGTGGATTAGCCATTCCCAACATCTGCTGTAGGGCTTGGGAGGAGTGTGTGTGTGTGTGTGTGTGTGAGTGTCTGTGTGTGTACAGGGGGGTTAGTGGTGTGTGTGTGTGTGTGTTGTGGTGTGTGTGTGTACAGGGGGGTTAGTGTGTGTGTTGTGTGTGTGTGTGTGTGTGTGTGTACAGGGGGGTTAGTGTGGTGTGTGTGTGTGTGTGTGTGTGTGTGTGTACAGGGGGGTTAGTGTGTGTGTGTGTGTGTGTGTGTGTGTTGTGTGTGTGTGTGTGTGTGTGTGTGTGTGTACAGGGGGTTAGTGTGTGTGTGTGTGTGTGTACAGGGGGGTTAGTGTTGTGTGTTGTGTGTGTGTGTGTGTACAGGGGGGGTTAGTGTGTGTGTGTGTGTGTGTGTGGTGTGTGTGTGTACAGGGGGGTTAGTGTGTGTGTGTGTGTTGTGTGTGTGTGTGTATATACAGGGGGGTTAGTGTCTGTGTGTGTGTGTGTGTGTGTGTGTGTGTGTGTGTGTGTGTGTACAGGGGGGTTAGTGTGTGTGTGTGTGTTGTGTGTGTGTGTGTGTGTACAGGGGTGGGTTGTGTGTGTGAGTGTGTACAGGGGGTTGTAGTGTGGTGTGTGTTGTGTGGTGTGGTGTGTTGTGTGTGTGTTGTGTGTGTGGTACAGGGGGGTTAGTGTGTGTGTGTGTGTGTGTGTGTGTACAGGGGGGTTAGTGTGGTGTGGTGTTGTGTGTGTCAGGGGGGTTTGTTGTGGTGTGGTGTGTGTGTACAGGGGGGTTAGTGTGTGTGTGTGTGGTGTGTGTGTGTGTGTGTGTCAGGGGTGTAGTGTGTGTGTGTGTGTGGTTGTGTGTGTGTTGTGTGTGTGTACAGGGGGTTGGTGTGTGTGTGTGGTGTGTGTGTGTTTCCCGGGGGGTTAGTGTGTGGTGTGTGTGTGTGTGTGTCCAGGGGGTGTTGGTGTGGTGTGGTGTGTGTGTGTACAGGGGGTTAGTGGGGTGTGTGTGTGTGTGATGTGTGGGGTTGTGTTGATACAGGGGGTTAGTGTGTGTTGTGTGTGGTGTGTGTGTCTGTGTGTACAGGGGGTTCGTGTGTGTGTACGGGTGGTTGTGTTGTGTGTTGTTGTGGTGTTACAGGGGGTATGTGTGTGTTGTGTGTGTGTGTGTGTGTTTGTGTGTACAGGGGGTTAGTGTGTGTGTCGTGGTGTAGTGTGTGTGTGTTGTGGTGTGTGTTGTGTGTACAGGGGGGTTAGTGTGTGTGTGTGGTGTGGTTACGGGGGGTGTGTGTGTGTGTGTGTTGTGTGTGTGTGTGTGTGTACGGGGGTTAGTGTGGTGTGGTTGTGTGTTGTGTGTGGGGTGTGTGTGTGTGTGGTGTACGGGGGGTTAGTGTGTGTGTGTGTGTGTGGTGTGTGTGTGTTTGTGTGTGTGTGGTGGGTGTACAGGGGTAGTTTGGTGTGTTTGTGTGTTGTGTGTGTGTGTGTGTGTGTACAGGTATTGTGGTTAGTGTGTGTGTGTGTGTTGTGTGTGTGTGTACAGGGGGGTTAGTGTGTGTGTGTACAGGGGGGTTAGTGTGTGTGTGTGTGTGTGTGTGTGTGTGTGTGTGTGTACAGGGGGAAACTAGTATCTTGGGAGATATGACAGCTCCTTCCTCTTGGAGCATCTATGGCTGTTTCTCAGTACGTTTCCTTCTGCAGGACAGACTGGGGCAAAGTTAGCCACTCATCTCCATCTAGTTAGATCTGTGCATTGCTTTGATAGTGATGTACAAGCTAGACATACAGGCCTCGCAGAACCAGTAAGAAAACATTTCTAGATGTACCATCACCCCAATCCCCTCCATCCTAGATTAGACTGACACCAGAGGAGAGAGAGAAACACGATATCAGATGGATAAACGATTAAATACAGAATGTGGTAATGTGATGTAGTGCCTCTGCAGTGTTCAAGTCTCTAGTCAGCCAGCCAGCCAGTCAGTCAGTCAGCCAGTCAGCCAGCCAGTCAGTCAGTCAGTCAGTCAGCCAGCCAGTCAGCCAGCCAGTCAGTCAGTCAGCCAGTTAGCCAGCCAGCCAGTCAGCCAGCCAGCCAGTCAGTCAGCCAGCCAGTTAGTCAGCCAGCCAGCCAGTCAGCCAGCCAGCCAGTCAGCCAGTCAGCCAGCCAGCCAGTCAGCCAGCCAGCCAGCCAGTCAGCCAGTCAGCCAGCCAGTTAGCCAGCCAGCCAGCCAGTTAGCCAGCCAGCCAGTCAGCCAGCCAGTCAGCCAGCCAGTCAGCCAGCCAGCCAGCCAGTCAGCCAGTCAGCCAGCCAGTCAGCCAATCAGCCAGTCAGTCAGCCAGCCAGTCACAGGGCACGTGAAGGACACACACACACCGGGTGTCATAGTAACCGAGAAAACACCACCTCTTAATATCACACCGCAAACCGATGACACCCACACACAATCCCCACCCCCTCCCCCGCAGTGCGACAACACCAACTCACAAACTCATAACTCTCTACACACCTCTCTCCCCCTCCCTCCCTCCCCCGCAGTGTGACAACACCAACTCACACCCCCTCCCCCATATAGTGTAACAACTCACTCTGTTTGATCAGTCTCTTGTCGGCCACCAGGACGTTCTCAGCGTCCACCACGATGACCTTGCCGTCCCGCGGCCCCACGGCAAAGTTATCAAAGCTCACGTCCAGCAGGTAGAGGGCGAACTCAAAGTCGTTGTTGGTGAGCTGCTCAGCGATGTCCATCAGCTGTCTAGCCAGGTCAACCCTCTTCTCCCACGGAGCGTTGTAGAAGGACCACAGCTCCTCACCGACGTAGTTCACTGCCACCACGCGACCACACGCTCCCAGGTACTTGGCAAACGGCCAGCCCTCGTCTGACGGGAAACTCTACAGGAGACGGGGAGAAAGAAGGGATGTTGGTTATTAGAGGAGAGGAGAATAGTGGAAGAAGAAAAGAGGTCTGTAGGGGGTCTGTATGAGGTCTGTAGGGAGTCTGTATGAGGTCTGTAGGGAGTCTGTATGAGGTCTGTAGGGAGTCTGTATGAGGTCTGTAGGGAGTCTGTATGAGGTCTGTAGGGAGTCTGTATGAGGTCTGTAGGGAGTCTGTATGAGGTCTGTAGGGAGTCTGTATGAGGTCTGTAGGGAGTCTGTATGAGGTCTGTAGGGAGTCTGTATGAGGTCTGTATGAGGTCTGTAGGGAGTCTGTATGAGGTCTGTAGGGAGTCTGTATGAGGTCTGTAGGGAGGTCTGATGAGGTCTGTAGGGAGTCTGTATGAGGTCTGTAGGGAGTCTGTATGAGGTCTGTAGGGAGTCTGTATGAGGTCTGTAGGGGAGTCTGTAGGAGTCTGTATGAGGTCTGTAGGGAGTCTGTATGAGGTCTGTAGGGGTCTGTATTGAGGTCTGTAGGGAGTCTGTATGAGGTCTGTAGGGGTTGTAGAGGTCTGTATGAGGTCTGTAGGGAGTCTGTATGAGGTCTGTAGGGAGTCTGTATGAGGTCTGTAGGGGGTCTGTAGGGAGTCTGTATGAGGTCTGTAGGGGGTCTGTATGAGGTCTGTAGGGGTCTGTATGAGGTCTGTAGGGAGTCTGTATGAGGTCTGTAGGGAGTCTGTATGAGTGTATGAAGGTCGTAGGAGTCCGTTGAGGGCTGAGGAGTCTGTAGAGGTCTGAGGGTCTGTAAGTCTGTAGGAGCGTATAAGTTAGGGAGTCTGTATGAGCGTATGAGTCTGTAGAAGTCTGTAGGGGTCGATGAGGTCTGTAGAGTCTTATGAAGTTGTAGGGATTTATGAGGTTGTAGGGAGTCTGTTGAGGTGTAGGGGGTCTGTATGAGGTCTGTAGGGAGTCTGTAGGGTCTGTAGGGGGTCGTATGAGGTCTGTAGGGGGTCTGTATGAGTCTGTGGGGTCTGTAGGGTTGATGAGTCTGTAGGGTTCTGTATTGAGGTATGTGGGTCTGTATAGTTGTAGATTGTATGGTTGTAGTATATGAGGTCGAGGATTGTATGAGTCTGTAGGGAGCTGTATTGAGGCGTGAGTGAAGGCAAGTCTGTAGGGGTCTGTATGCAAAGTGAATGAAATCGTATCAAACTTCAGTTGAAGTTGCATTTAAAAGTGCAACACTTAACAGTAAAAACAACACTATTTAAGAAATATACACGCCAAACCCAAAACAAATTCAGCAATTTTCGCATTTCCTGCACTTTTATTATCATGTCCACACTGTTGCCACGCAGCGTGATATGGACAAACAAATCGCGGTTTAGTTTATTGAACTGTTGGAATCATGGAAATATATTGATTATTCTAATTCTGTAGTTGGAATATAGTGGGACGCACCTTGAATACATTGTTGTTTGACATGACATCAAATGAATAAGCCAGCGAGGAATTATTGACCGGGTAGGAACCAAAGTTTGTCAGTGTTTCCAGGTGACCCTAATTAGATGTTACATTACATGACATATTACATTACTTCATGCTAGCTAGCTAGCCAACATATTCACGCTTCACCTATTCCTCTCCGTTGCACAAACATGCTTATCTAGCACTGGTACCAGGCAGTATTAGCTAACTAGCTTTGCTCTGACTCTTAGTGCATTTAGCTAGCTGGCCAGCTAACGAGCAACTATCGGCTAACACAAATTATTTTAGCAACACCTTGCTAAGAAAAGTCAAACTAGCAAACAGTATTTTGCAGACAGTAAGATGCAAAAAAAAAAGGAATAGTGTAATTATAGAACGCTTGTGTCACCAACATTGTTGCATCCATCAAGACCACGAGGAGTGAACGGCAAGAAAGTGCCCGTGACTCCGTGGCCGAGCAACTGCTCTCTCCTTGAGTGACGGGGGCTTGGTGTGGTTAGCGGCATGCAGCAGGAGAGAGAGAGAGAGAGAGAGAGAGAGAGATGACTCAAGAAGCAAACGGAGTAAACTATACAAAACTGACATTGAAATACCGTTATAGAAGGTAAAGTAAAAACTCAAACCGGTCCGTGCATCAATACCGGTTTATAGTAAAATACTGCCCAGCCCTAACTAGTAACAGCACACTTCCATGGAGGCTGCTAGCTAAATATGCTAACGAGCGCAAACAACAATAAACTAATTACAAAGACAGGCAATCCAGCTCATAAAGCTACACATATAGGAGCTAGGGAAAAAAAGGGAAAAAAATATAAAACGCATAAGAAATGTCTTTCTACGTTTTGGACTCACATACTGCCCCTGTCAATACACAGCTGGACTCACATACTCCCCCTGTCAATACACAGCTGGACTCACATACTCCCCCTGTCAATACACAGCTGGACTCACATACTCCCCCTGTCAATACACAGCTGGACTCACATACTCCCCCTGTCAATACACAGCTGGACTCACATACTCCCCCTGTCAATACACAGCTGGACTCACATACTCCCCCTGTCAATACACAGCTGGACTCACCTGCTCCCCCTGTCAATACACAGCTGGACTCACATACTCCCCCTGTCAATACACAGCTGGACTCACATACTCCCCCTGTCAATACACAGCTGGACTCACATACTCCCCCTGTCAATACACAGCTGGACTCACATACTCCCCCTGTCAATACACAGCTGGACTCACATACTCCCCCTGTCAATACACAGCTGGACTCACATACTCCCATACTGTCAATACACAGCTGGACTCACATACTCCCCCTGTCAATACACAGCTGGACTCACATACTCCCCCTGTCAATACACAGCTGGACTCACATACTCCCCCTGTCAATACACAGCTGGACTCACATACTCCCCCTGTCAATACACAGCTGGACTCACATACTCCCCCTGTCAATACACAGCTGGACCCACATACTCCCCCTGTCAATACACAGCTGGACTCACATACTCCCCCTGTCAATACACAGCTGGACTCACATACTCCCCCTGTCAATACACAGCTGGACTCACATACTCCCATACTGTCAATACACAGCTGGACTCACCTGCTCCAGCTTTCTCCTGGCTCAACTGTGAGTTATACTTATCATAATATAAAATAATGTGACAGGTGAAATAAGAAAATGATGTGTTTATCTCCTAATGCATTGCACAAGTTGACTGCAGGTATGCACTTAAAAGATACCTACAAATATTAAAATGTATTGAAAAAAAAACATCCCGTAGGTATTTCCAAATACCCCGGTATAGAGTATACCACCTAAGCCTAATGCTGGCCCTTGTTGACTTTAATGCTTTCCACAGTTGTGTCATGTTGGCTAGATGTCCTTTGGGTACACATGGGAAACTGTTGAGCGTGAAAAAAAACCAGGAGTGTTGTAGTTCTTGGCACACAAAGCAACTTACTACCATACCCACCCCGTTCAAAGACACTTAAATATTTTGTCTTCACCCTCTGAATGGCACACATACACAATCAATGTCTGAAGGCTTCTTAAATCCTTCTTTAACCATTCTCCTCCCCTTCATCTACGCTGGTTAAAGTGGATTTAACAAGTGACATCAATAAGGGATCATAGCTTTCACCTGGATTCACCGTGTCAGTCTATTTCACGGTCAGTTTATGTTTTAGTCGCGTGGTGACACAAAGAGGAGAAGGTAGTCGAGTGGTGACACAAAGAGGAGAAGGTAGTCGAGTGGTGACACAAAGAGGAGAAGGTAGTCGAGTGGTGACACAAAGAGGAGAAGGTAGTCGAGTGGTGACACACAAAGAGGAGAAGGAAGTCGAGTGGTGACACAAAGAGGAGAAGGTAGTCGAGTGGTGACACAGAAAGAGGAGAAGGTAGTCGCGTGGTGACACAGAAAGAGGAGAAGGTAGTCGCGTGGTGACGCAGAAAGAGGAGAAGGTAGTCGCGTGGTGACACAGAAAGAGGAGAAGGTAGTCGCGTGGTGACACAGAAAGAGGAGAAGGTAGTCGCGTGGTGACGCAGAAAGAGGAGAAGGTAGTCGCGTGGTGACACAGAAAGAGGAGAAGGTAGTCGCGTGGTGACGCAGAAAGAGGAGAAGGTAGTCGCGTGGTGACACAAAGAGGAGAAGGTAGTCGAGTGGTGACACAGAAAGAGGAGAAGGTAGTCGCGTGGTGACACAGAAAGAGGAGAAGGTAGTCGCGTGGTGACACAGAAAGAGGAGAAGGTAGTCGAGCGGTGACACAGAAAGAGGAGAAGGTAGTCGAGTGGTGACGTAGAAAGAGGAGAAGGTAGTCGAGCGGTGACACAGAAAGAGGAGAAGGTAGCCGAGTGGTGACGCAGAAAGAGGAGAAGGTAGTCGCGTGGTGACACAGAAAGAGGAGAAGGTGGTCGAGTGGTGACACAGAAAGAGGAGAAGGTAGTCGCGTGGTGACACAGAAAGAGGAGAAGGTGGTCGAGTGGTGACACAGAAAGAGGAGAAGGTAGTCGAGTGGTGACACAGAAAGAGGAGAAGGTAGTCGAGTGGTGACACAGAAAGAGGAGAAGGTAGTCGAGTGGTGACACAGAAAGAGGAGAAGGTAGTCGAGTGGTGACACAGAAAGAGGAGAAGGTAGTCGAGTGGTGACACAGAAAGAGGAGAAGGTAGCCGAGTGGTGACACAGAAAGAGGAGAAGGTGGTCGAGTGGTGACACAGAAAGAGGAGAAGGTAGCCGAGCGGTGACACAGAAAGAGGAGAAGGTAGTCGAGCGGTGACACAGAAAGAGGAGAAGGTAGTCGAGTGGTGACGCAGAAAGAGGAGAAGGTAGTCGAGCGGTGACACAGAAAGAGGAGAAGGTAGTCGAGTGGTGACGCAGAAAGAGGAGAAGGTAGTCGAGCGGTGACACAGAAAGAGGAGAAGGTAGTCGAGTGGTGACGCAGAAAGAGGAGAAGGTAGTCGAGTGGTGATCATGTCGAAGTTGAGGTGCCTGGCTATGACCATATCGGTGGGACATTG